CGAGATACCTTTTCACAATGCTTTACTTTTTCAAGGCCCGTGCTGCTTTATTTTTACAAGGCCTGAGGCCTATATCGGGTAAAGGCCCTTTTACTGAGCAAAAACGATAAAAAATGGCAAAAGGGGGGTAGGGGCGGGGGTTAATGAAGGGCCCGCTGCTACACACGACAAGGAGGAAGAAGAAGAAGAGGAGGAGGAGGAGGAGGGCGACAAGGAGGAGGAGGAAGAAGAAGAAAAGGAGGAGGAGGAATATGAGGAGGGGGCCAAGGGTGCCAGTTTGATTCTGTGCGTGCACAGATGGGCCTAAGGCCAGAAAGCATGGATCCATCATTACAGCAGTATCTACACTGAAAAGTGCCCTAAATGTAGCAATAAGGGCTGCATCCACGGGCTGGCAAAACCTGCTCCCATTCCACCACAACACCTTGCAGGATTCCATCATGGCCGCCAGCCGCCGGGACTTCTACAGCGGCAATGTTTTCACACTGCCATGCACCCTTTTCGAGTGGGCTGGACTTGGGAGTACTGGAGGTGGGGTGCCCGCCCCCTACTTCGGAAACAGGGGAACTCACTGCACAGACCTCATTCACCTTGTTCTTTTCCCTTTTCGGATGCGCTTTCCTCCAAGAGAACGTGTGTGTGCTGTCTACCACCTACAGTAGGCCTTGCGGGAAATCCATCACACCGCACACAGCCTGTCAGCAGTCTGGCGGCTGCGCGGTGGGATCCAGCCCTTACGATCATACCTTCTATCCAAGGAAAGAAGGTGAAAACGGTAGTGGTCCCAGAGCCAGATACTACAAGCGAGAGGACAGAAAACTTTGGAGGGAGTTGTCCTCTTTTTTTTTTTTTTTTTTTTTTTGGGGAAAAACGCTCCATCTATTGGTGGGGAGCAGCACCTGCTGGAAACCGGGTCCAGCGTCCCATAGATACAACCATATCCTCACAAATTGGCACAAACTGGGAAGCGGGCCCAGCGCCCCATAACAAGTACGCTCAGAAGTCAACAGAAAATTCATGAAAATGAGATGGAATTTGGAAATTGAGATACCGGGGCCATTACCCGGCTTTGGCTCGAAAAAATTAGAGCTACTTCAGACATGTCTAGGGCAATCTTTAGCGAAATTCAGAAACAACTCAGAAAATCCCCCATCAATCCACCATACCTCACTCCGGCAAGACTGACTGCAGCAGAGCCACCACCTCTACTGCTGCTATGCCATACTCCCATCCTACCAGCTAGCCCCCTCACTGGTAGAACGCGTGGTAACCCACCATCCTCTCCCACTCACCTTATCTTCTTTTTGAAATACCTAAGAAGCATGAGAATAGGCCACAGAGGTCCTACGATGATTCCAAAAACCTCGAAATCCCACCCAAACCCTTCCAACGTTCTCCAAAACTGTCGTACTCCCTGCCGATCTCTTCTAGGTCTCACACCCCCACTTTCTGCTGGGTTACAAGGCAGCGCAACTCACCCCAGCTCCAACCAGCCCCGGCAGCAACCCTTGGTTGTCCCGTGGAAAGCCCACCCCAAGCCTCCCCAGATCTCTCTACCAGACCTCGCGCTCCTGTCGCAGGTTACAGGGCAACACCCCAGCACCGGTCAGCGTTGTCTGGCATCGAACAACCGCAGATCAGTGAGGATAACAGCATTGAAGCCACCAAAGAAGAGTTAGTAGGGATCCCAGAGTCCTAAAAAACATTCCTAGGACCACTAAGCACCCAACTCTTTTTGGAACATTCAAAAAACTTTAGAAAAATATAAGGGCAAGGGGGGCAAGACTAAATCTGCCTACTATCCTAGATTCCCCCTTCCAACAGATGGGGCGTCGGTCCAGGCTTTCAGTCCTCGTACCAGAACTCACTTGATCTCATACCCCCTTCTGCTAGGGTAACAGGGCACCACAACCCTTCCCAGTACCGATCAACCTAGCTTTGACGGACAGGAAGTGCCTTCCTCCCTCGACAATTCCCTTAGGCGCGAGCCCCTAAACAGGTTACAGGGTCAAAACCCCGGCGCCAACTACGTCGGACGATCTGGTTATGCCTTCCACCCTCGTCAAGCTCCCCCCTGGGTTACAGAGCAGAGGCTCCAGCACCGGCCTGTGTCGTCCCAGCATCGTCCTTCTAACCTACTTACCCTAACAAACAACCCTTTCTGTTGAGAATCCCCTTGCTACCTTCCTTCCTTCAAGTCTAGCTTCCTTCCCTTCGACTCACTGTGTAGTCATCGAAGACACTCCTTCCCTAAAAAAACTAAATCCTAACACACTGCTATACGCAGCCACCCCCTTGTCTTCTCTCCCCACCCGCCAGTACTGATCCGACCCTAAATCAGTCCGGCTAAGAGAAAACAATCCCCCAATACCGCCTCCTCCCTCCAAGAATAACACCTCCCACTTTGTGAAACCCTCATGGGGGAAGGCTCCAACCCTCAAGGAAGGCCCCACAGATACACACAGCAAGCCGCAATTACACCCCTCAAGACCAGGAAGTTGAGATTAGACGCACGGTGTTATGATTAGCAACCATAGGGTTTTGAAAAAATACTACAATAGCCTACTTTTAGGCATCGAAAATCAGAATGAGTTTGTATCAGAAATCCAGAAATAATAAAAGACCATACGATCAATGATAAGAAAAACTACTGAGTGACAAAATTTACAAGAAATTATATGAAGTTTTAGGTTTAGATATCCATAAAGGATTTTCGAATCAGATTCCCAAACCATAGTTTGAGAAACGTTTAGCAACAATGTATGGCACGAAAAATTTTAAGAAAATATTTTCAAGAAACCATTTTATCAGAAGGAACCACAAACAGAAAACTGAATAAGATCATCATCCTTTAGAAAGAATAACCCATGGATACGCCAAACCCGGACCCGGACCCGGACATTTCCAGACATGGAACCGGACCCGTGTCCGGTAGTTTCCGGACATTTCCGGACCTCCTGACATGGGGGGATCCGGACGGTCCGAAAAATGTCCGGACCGTTAAAAAAAAAAAAAAAAAAAAAAATTGAAAAAAAAGTATGTTATGCAGAATAGCAATGCAAACCACTTTTGCCTCGGAGTCATGTCAGAATTCTAAACCAAACTTGAGTTAGAAGTCGAAAGCAATAAAAAAGCTTAAAAAAAGTTAAAAAAACCTTCAAAAACTAATAAAACTTTATAAAAGGTAATAAATTATTAATAATTAAAGAATTGGGGTTGTCTAATAAATTATTATATAGAGAGAGCATGTCCGGACCCCTCAAAAAAGCATAAACGGGCCTGAAAAACCCCCAAAACAATTTTGGGGGCTTGTCTCCTCAATGGGGAAGGGTCCTGGACCGTTTTTTTTTCTCTCGAAATTTGGCAGATCCGGACCTTCCAGACCGGACGTCTGGAGTCCGGACTGAATCCGGACCGTCTGGACGGCGGTCCGGGCGTCCGGATCGTAGCCATGGAATAACCAGAATTACAACCTAGAAAAAACAAACGAGTGAATTCAGAATAGAGAAGACAAAATTCAAAAAAACTAATTAGATCATCATCATTGGTAAACATCAGCTACCCAAATCGAAGTAATCCAGACCGGTGAATATGACTGAAACCATTATACACATATGATCAGCGAAAGGGACTATCCAAAGAAAAGCCAAGCTCATCCTCAAGATGCAATCAACAAGACGAAAAAAAACTCGACCACAGCGCCCTCGCACTCCAGACGCCCTCGCGACGAAAAACACAGCTGCCGTCGATACCGCTTGGCCCTTCTTCAAAAAACCACGGACTCGATGTCGCCTCCAATCCTCCTCCCACTCCACGTGAGGACGCGCTCCTCCCTTTCAGCCTGCATCAGCCGACCATCCTCCACAAAACTACGCAGGCAGAGAAGCAAAGGCAACCAAAATGCCGAGAATCTCATGAAGACCCGCCCCCTTTCAAAGGCAGACTTCCCTTCATCCATCGTGCTGACCTGCAGCATCACTAGGTGAAGCGTGAAGCCGGAGATGGCACCACCTGTGCTTTCAAAAGGCAGGCCACACCAAGTCGCGCCAAATCATCTCTACCCTCCCGTTGTCAAGTCTCGCGCCCACAGCCCCCACCCGCCCACCGCGTCGCCAGACTCTCCGTTAGCTCCTGCGTCGTGCCGCATCCACTCCGATGGTGCTCCAGCGGGGGCGCAGCGCTCCCGGTCGCGCTGCGCCCCACCTGAGAGGACCGTTTCCCATGCCACTTTTGTAATGAAACCTGACCTCTTGGTAGGGAAGCGTTCCCCCTTCACATGTACCTGCCTGCTGGCTGAATGGTGGACACAGGTGCCTGTTACCGAAAAAAAAACACAAACAACAAACTCAAAGGCTTGGGATGCCACATAAAAGCCAACCCTCTTACCTTACCTGCAAATGTCGAGATAGCCATCGTCTGTCAATACCAAGTTGCCAGATCAGAAAGATCGCAGCATTAGCTCCAATCAGCATCCAGACCATTCTCTGATCATCTCCACCACCCCTGACCTCCACATGTTCACGTATGCACACACACTCCCCCGTCCCCCACACGCGCCCCCCCCCCTCCCCCCACGACACACACACACACACGCACTCACCGACCCACCCACACAAACACACACACATAGACATAGAGTGAGTGAGACAGAGTGCACGCACGCTGCGCACCCACAAACACCGAGAAATGCTCGTGCATGCCAGCACTTGGCCTCCTGAGGGTCCGGTCCAACACAACCCTGGTGGTCTGTCAGGGCACACACAATAGGGGCACACTGCTGAACCAGTGTGAAAACACTGAAAAAGGCATGACAGTGATGACACAGAATGAATTCAATGAATCCATTGTTTTCATTTTTTTTTTCTCTCAAGCAGCAATGTTAAAAGAAACATGTAGTCTGTGCATGCTGGCCCTCTCCAAAGTGTAACCCTGGCAAACACAGCGACAAAGGGTAAAGGGGGCCCCTTCTTCAGGATAGGGTGAAGTACAGAATTGGCCTCATAAGACCATTGCTGAGAATCTGCAGCTCCAGGTTGAGGTGCATCATCTGCATATCTAGGCATATACTGACCAGGATCTTTTCTGCATTTTCAAATTCGAGAGGGTTGTTTACGAGGTATTGATAAGATTGACGGAAAATAAATCTTGAACCACCAGTACAACTGAGCCTGGCACTGCGCCCGCCAAGCTTTGCCAAACCGCCAGCGGCGCACTTTTTCACCCATTGTGGTCTGGTGGACCCGAGCCTCCGAAATTATGAGAGTGCGCCAGGAGTCTTTTGAAGTTGGCTGGGGGCGTATACTGGCGGTTTAAAACACCACATCCTCCAAAGCTACGTCGGGCGCTTACCAATTTACGTGGTAAGTACGGCCATGAAGCTTTGGGCCTGCGCGGGTAGTGAAAGCAACTACCTGGTGTCCATTGCTGATGTGCATTTTTCAAGTTTTTTTCTAGGAAGATTCTCACGCCCTGTCGGTCCTGCCCGGCCGGGCACCCGGGAGTGCAAAAAAAACAACATTTTTTTTTTTTTTTTTTTTTTTTTTTTGGTTTT